GCAGCGGGAGCACTGGCAGACGGGGAGGGCACCGAGCAGGGCAGAATCGCTGTGGCAACACATGGCCTAGGCGGGGTGGTGGCTTCGTTTTTAAACAGCAGCTTTTTTTGAGATATAATTTACATAACATAAATTCACCTTTTTAAAGTGTGTACTTAGTGGTTTTTAGTGTATTCACAGAGTTATTTGACTGTTACTATGATCTAATTTCAGAATATTTTCTTTGCCCCTAAGGGAAACCTGGTCCCTGGTAGCGTCCCTTCCCGTTTCCCCACCCCCGGCACCCACCATCTGCTCCGTAGCTGCAGATGGTCCTGCTGAATAGAGTCACAGACCACGTGGCCCTTCATGTCTGGCTGCCTTCTCTGAGCCTCAAGGCTCCGGGGTTCGTCCATGCCGTGGCAGGTGTCCGTGGTTCATTCCCTTACGTGGCCAAGTAGGATCCGATTGTGTGGCCAGACCACATCAGCTTTTGGTAGACCTTTGAGCTGTCGGCCATTGTGAATGGTGCTGCTGTGAATATCACGTACAAGTTTTTGTTTGAACACCCGTTTCAATTCTTTTGGGACCACACCCAGGCCTGGAATGGACATTGCACACGTTTTGTCCTGTTCGCTTTGACATTTGTGTGCATGCTTGTCCTCAGGCTGCGTCCTTCTGTGGAGATCCCCCAGCCATGAATACTGAAGGGTAAAAAAAAAAAGGGCATTTTTTTGTGTGCCTGGGACAGTTCTCAGCACCAAGCGATTCCTGCTGTCCCTTGGCCCCATAGCAGTAGCCGTGCAGCATTTCCTTCTAGCAGAGCATCCTGCTGAGGTCCCACGCTGCACTGACTTGCTTTATGTCTCTACCTGTCCTTAATTTGGGACACTTCCTCTGCCTTTGTCTCTTTTACATGACATTTTGGATCATTACCCCATCCCCATTTTGGATTTTCTTTTTTTTTTTTTTTTTTAAGATTTTATTTATTTATTTGACAGAGAGAGATCACACATAGGCAGAGAGGTGGGCAGAGAGAGAAGAGGAAGCAGGCTCCCCACTGAGCAGAGAGCCCGATGCGGAACTCGATCCCAGGACCCTGAGATCATGACCCGAGCCGAAGACAGAGGCTTCAACCCACTGAGCCACCCAGGCGCCCCCCAATTTTGGATTTTCTGATACTTCCTCCTGACTAGGTTGAGGTCACGATCCCAGATAGGACATGGAGACATTGTGGCCTATTTAGGTCCCACATCTGAACTGCCTGTCCCCTTGTGGGACCTTGTTGGCTCTCCGTGAAGGGCCTTCCTAACTCCCTGCTATACGGTGCCTCTCTCTCCCATGGGAAAGCAGCCAGAGGCAGGGGGTACATGAGACCTCTACAGATGTCCTGCTCCTGTCGGATTTCCTGGGTTTAGCCTTCATTAGGGATTCTCACCCGTCTCAAGCTTCACTGGGACCCCTGCAGTGGCCTCCCCCATTGCCAGCCTGTGGCAACCCTCTACTCTCAGGGTGCAAGGCTCACTTACCCACTGCCATGTGTGACTGTATTGTGTTTATTTCAGTATTCATTTCACTTATATTATGTTTACTTGTTTTCATTACTGGAATGGGCGCATGGATTCTTATCTTTCAGTTAGTCTATAATTGTGTTGATGCTCAAAGTGCCCTGGATTTGGCTAGTGAGATCCCTTCAGGTAGGTCCCTGTGTCCTTTCAATGTGACTGTGTCATTCTTTTGAAGCTTTCCTTTCTTCTGGAGGAACACTGTGTGCCATGCTCACCTTGTACTCCCACCCTGCCTGAATCAGCCATTTATCTGAGGAGCCTGGTTTCTTCTCTGGGGGACAGCCTGGGCACCGCTGGGCCTGCAGCCACTCAGGCCCTTCCTGTCCCTTTGAGCAGCTAGAACTAGGGAATATATGATCATGCGTGTGCCATGCACATATATGGCCCCTGTGCTGTCCTGCACATATGCTTAGTTTAGAGATCTTGGGGTTCACTGGACACCGCCGGTTCCATCCACCCTCGGGCCCTCACCTGCCCTTCTCCCTTCCATGTTGCATCTCCCGCCATCCACTTGAGAAAACTCTGGGTTCACTGATGAACATTCTCTGTTCAGAATGCACATAACGGTTTCGGGACTGCTTCACCGTAGTGCCTTGAAAGACGCAGGGGGACATCCCAGTGAGGCTGTCATGACCTGAATGCCTCCACCCCTCCCAGGAGGGCGTAGGGTCTGGACAATGTCACCCCCGTAATCAAGAGTTAATTATTATGCACAAAGAAAATTCGGAAGTCCTGTTAAGTGCTAGCGCCAGTGGGTTTTGTGTGCTTACAGCTCTGTACTTTTGAGCTCTTGGTAGGGTCACAGAGCATCAGTGCCTGGGAGGGCCCCGTTACCAGGAAGCAGCAAGGTAACTGAACACCCTGATTTGATCTTGTGGCGTTCCTGACAAAGTAATTAAATCAGCCTCTGCTCTCAGACAAATGCTTCTGAGGATGGCCTCCACTGGAATGGGCCAGGCAGCCCGAGCATACAGGCTCCATCGTCTCTGACACAGGGTCTGGGGTCCTGGGCTCAGAAAAAAACAGCAGCTGCCTGTCCAGCCTCGGGCTCAGAGAATTCCTTTCTGTTGAGTCAGGACCTCTACCTTGCACTTGCCCTTCTCGCGACTGTCCATTGGACCTTTGGGGAAGTTGTGCTGCTGGTTTACACATCAGGAGATGGGCTTTAAGAGGTTGGAGGTAGGAGCTGTGTCCATCCCGGTTGGACCTGTGCCCCGGGCAAGCACCGGCTGTGCATGGCCTGGTGCAGAGCCCCTTCAGGAGCGGGGCCTGCCTTTTCCAGCTCTCCACCACGGGGAGCGCAGCCCATGTGGAGGGCCACCTGGGGGTAGCACAGCCCTGGCTTTGGTCAGACGTAGTTCCTGCCCAGACATCTTTGGAGGGGCTCTCCATTCTGCTCCTTCCTGCCAAGAGCATCCTGTGTGGTGTACCTTTGGGAAAGGATCAAGCCTGTGACCCTGATAGACCTCTTGATCCCTGAGTGCTGTAGAGGAAGGGATGTGGGTTTTGGAGACGTGGGCTGTGGGTCTTGGCTATATCATTACCATTCAAGCTTTCAGGCAGTTCCAGACTCTGAGTAATGGGGACAATGTGTGCCTCATGGGGTTGTTGGAAGGGTCAGAGAGCAGGCCTGTCACCCTAGTGGTGCCCTCTGTCTCCCCTCTCACCCCCCTCCCCCGCCATTCTCCAGAGCTACAGCTAGACAGCATGGGTCTCCAGGCTCTGTGCAGTCTTAGTGCCCTCCCTGCTGCGCTGCTCCTGCTGGTAACAGTGCGCGTGTTTGATAGACCCCTGCACGGAGTCACATGCTTGAAGCTGGAGCGCAGGTCTGTGTGTCCGCTCTGCAGCTTGGAGTTGTCAGCACTGAGGTCAAAGGGGGGACTTGGCAAGGAGCAGGGTTTGCAGGCTGGGTCCCGGGCATGCCATCTGCTCTGACCGGGCCCTGGGCTGGGGCAGAGCCCATCCTGAGAAGCTGTTCCACGGGGAGCTCAGAGGATGTGTGAGGGAAGGAATGTTAGAACCTCTTCCGGCTTTTATAGGACGAGGTGCATCAACACGGTGTCTGTACCCCATGTAGATTCATGACTTTTGGAGGTTCTGGAGAGGCAGAGGGTGGAGGGAGGACTTGTCCTTGGAAGTTGCTCCCCTCCCCTTGGCTGCAGGGTGGATGTCCTGTGACAGTGCAGCGGGAGAGCTCATGCGGCTACCCTGTAGTGATGTCCCCCAGACACCAGAGCTGCTGGTGCGTGGGAACTGTCCTCAGCGGTTGGGTGGTTTTCCGGGCCTGCAATGGGGATGTTTATTTAGAAAGTGAGTCTGAAGTGGGACTTGGGTGCTAGAGATGGCATTTCTGCAAGGTCACAGTTGGGCAATGCAAATATTTACTTGGGACAGATACCCTCTTTCTTAGAGATTTGCACCCATAAAAACCACTGAAACTTCAAATGGCTCATTTCCCTATCACCCTATCACCTAAACATTGTTTTGCCTTCCCCGCAGGAAGCCCTGCCAGTGTGAACATCCTTGAGGACCCCAGTCTTCTGGGGAGATGGGCCCCCTGAATGGAGTGGCAGGAGGGATGGGGCTCACGTTTTTCCTGCCCCAGCCCACATTGGAGGCAAGGGCTCCCCACTCTCAGTCCACATTGGAGGCCAGGGGTCCCCAGTCTCAGTCCACAGTGGAGGCCAGGGGTCTCCAGTCTCAGCCCACATTGGAGGCCAGGGGTCCCACTCTCCACTCACAGTGGAGACCGGGGTCCCCAGTCTCAGTCCACATTGGAGGCCAGGGGTCCCCACTCAGCTCACATTGGAGGCCAGGGCTCCCCACTCTCAGCCCACATTGGAGGCCAGGGGTCCCCACTCTCAGCCCACATTGGAGGCCAGGGCTCCCCAGTCTAGCCCACATTGGAGGCCAGGGTCCCCACTCTCAGTCCACAGTGGAGGTCAGGGGTCCCCACTCTCAGTCCACATTGGAGGCCAGGGGTCCCCACTCTCAGTCCACATTGGAGGCCAGGGCTCCCCAGTCTCAAACCGTAAGGAGGCCAGGGGTCCCTAACCCCAGCCCACATTGGAGGGCCGGACCCCCGGTTCCTGTGCATTAGAGGACAGAAGCCCCCTCTGCCTCCTAAGCTGCCTTGTTAGCACTCTGAGCTACTGCAGGCACCGTGCCTGATGCTCATAGCACAGAGCCTTCCAGAAGAGCCAGGGCACATGGTGCACTCCCAGGAATGTTTGCTCTGACACCTGGAGCTTGTGCAGCTGAGCATTAGATGCCCTGGAGATGCCAGGTGCGTGTGGGTGATGGAGTTTAGATGTTTGCCCTGGGAGGGAATGCTGGCTGGGTCATGAGCCTGGTGACACCAGGGACGGGGGTGCCCTTGTGAGGAAAGACTGGTTTTGCTGCCAAGGCTCAAGGACTGCCCCGCCCACCCCGAACAACTCAGAGAATTGAGAATCAGGATGTGGCTATGTTTTATTGAGAAGGACTGGACATTCCTAGTAGTCACTAGTTTTTCTTTTGTACATTTTAAGGAGAACTGTTTACATTGCCATCATCGTTGTCCCCACTGTTGTTCCTCAGAGGCCAACTTTCTCCCACGTGTGCTGGCTCCCCAGCTCGTAACCCCATGGTCTCCTTCCCTGATGGTGTAGGTGCAGAGATGCCCAGGAACAGACAGCAGAGGGCCGGCAACTCGGACAGCAGCGGGGCTTCTGGTTGCAGAAGTGCTCCGGGTCATGTGGCCGCTGTCTGCAGGGCCACCCTCAGGGGTGTGTGTGTGTGAAGAAGAAGAAGCACTTCTCCCTTCCTCTCTGACTCGAGGGCACTTGTTAGTATGCCCAGTAAACCGTAAGCCACAGACGAGGCGGATGGTCCACAGTTTCCAGTTCAGGTCTGCTGAGTGTGTTGTCTGCAGCATTCATTTTTCCCGAGGATGGCAGATTTATGGAAGACAGACCTTGAAACTAAGGTCTCTCCTCCAAAATGTCCCCTTTGTTTTGCTTGCACTGGCCAACATGAGAAATGTCGTTTGCTGTGGGACACAGTGTGTGCAGAGTGGACTGCAAGTTCACGCTGGTCCCCATCCCTACGCCAGCTCATGCCAGTCACATGCCCTGCAGCTGTGAGTGTGGGTGGGGAGCCCCAGTGCTGTGTACTCCGCCCAAGGTCAAGGTGGCTTGCAGTGAGGGCTCTTCAGAACCCAGGTGTGCCCACAGCTGGGGCACGGGTGGGCCATCCTGTTCTGACTGGGCTCAGAGCGCAGTGTGGCCCAGCTGTTCCTCCCACCTTGCCCTGGGGGTGACCCAGCGTGGGATCCCTGTGGGTACAGCCCCGCCGCCTCTACACGGCGCTGCTGAACCTTACGTCCGACTGCTCCGTGCTGTCCGGAAGGACCGCCTTCAGGGCAGCGTGGCAGAAGCGGTTCAGAGCTGACATGTTGGTTTTCTGCTCAATGTACATTCTCAGTTTGTCCCGAAAAGTCTCCCCCAGAAAGCTGTAGATGAGGGGGTTCAGGCAGCTGTTGGAGAAAGCTGCCAGGTTGACAATGTGGCCCGTTAGCGGGTAGGCGTGGCGGAAGGACTGCGTGCAGGGAGCGGCTCCTGGTGGGCTGCGCTGCAGGAGGTGGACGCTGATGAAGACGTTCTCCGGCAGCCAGCAGATGAAGAACACAAGGACCACCGCGAAGATCATGCGCAGGGCTTTCTGCCGCCTGGGGCGCAGGCCTCGGTGCTTGTGAGCCTTGACAAGCACGCGGACAATGAGCGAGTAGCACAGGCCGATGATGGCGAAGGGGATGACGAACCCCAAGGTCACTTCCAGCCACTGGATCTCTTTGACGTCTGCGAAGCAGAAGCAGACCTCCTCCGTGTGCTGCAGGTGCACCGCGGTGAAGGGCACCAGCGTGGCTGAGACAGACGCCATCCAGATGAGGCCGCAGCTGAGCCGGGCGTGGTGCTTGGTGCGGAACAGGCTGGACCTCATGGCCTTGGCCAGGGCAATGTACCGGTCAAAGCTCATCCACGTGAGGAAGAAGATGCTGCTGTACATGTTGATCTGCAGGAAGAGTGACATGAAGGTGCACAGCACGGCAATGTCGTAGTACTGCTCGTCCAGGTTGAACACCTCGATCAGGGAGTCAGCCACCAGGATGAGGTCTGCCGCTGCCAGGTTGATGAAGTACAAGTCCGGGATCGTCATCTTCTCCCGGAAGCTGATGTTCACCACCAGTATCAGGATGTTCCCCACAAAGCCAATGGGGAAGAGGAAGATGGTGTACAGGCAGGACAGGAAAAGCCCGATCACATACTGCTGGTGCTCAGAGAGCTCGCCCGTCTGGTTAGCCAGGACAGTGCCAATGAGCACATGGGACAGGTTGAGCTCCAGGGGGGTGCTGTTGGAGGCACCTGGGTGCGTCTCCATGCCAGGGAGCAGCGCTGGGGAAGTCACGTCCGTGTCCCCAGAGGTGCACCTTTCAAGGTTTGCTGCGTGGCTACCAGAAATCCCACTTAAACGAAAGCTCCATCTCTAGAAAGAAAGGTGACGCTCTTTGAAGTGAGCCAGATGCCTGTAAGAGCAGAAGTCATCGCGGGCACCACTGCAAGCAGCGTGGGTCCGTTTTGCAGAAAGCTGAGCAATCAGAGAAGGTGGTCCATGTCCACACAGCGGGCGGCACCCTGGCTTGCCGTCGGCTTGGTGTCAGCCGCCGTGTTCCACGCGCGGGGTGGCGCCGCCTGTGCACCTGAGAGAAGCAGATGGAAGAGGAGTCAGGCTTTGGTGCAAGTCTTTAGGGCTTCCTGGCGAGGATGGTCTCTGCGGCCGATGGCCATGGGGACGGCAGGCACGTGAGTGTGCAGGGAAGGCCGGGACTTGAGGTCCTTAACGTCTTGGAGAGGTGGTTGTCACTGAGCTGAGGGAGAAGAATTAAGTGTAGAACGTGCCCCACATTCTGTCCCCAGGGCTCCCAGCCGCTCAGTCTGACCGGAGCCTGGACTGTGAGTCATCCTAACGCGCAGTGGACGCCTATTTTTTAAAATAGTTGAATAGCAGGCTTATGAAGTAACATGAATGTTGGGTATGGAAATCTCAGGAAAAGTACTGTTTGCCAGCAGAGAAAATAAAATTTATTTCAGCAGCTGTTAGAAAGAGAGCTGAGATGGGAAGGGAAAAACCCAGCTTCTCTGAAGGCAGTGGGCCCAGAATGCTTTGTGGAAACTGCTTAAGCAGAATCTCTTACAGTAAAATAGATAAAAGAAATCTGGTTTTTTTTTCTTTTTTTTTTTTTTTTTGCTAACCTAAGCTTGGGTGCCCCAAATGAAACTTCTTTCATGATATGAAATGAAAGAGAAAACATAATAAAAATGGTACTTGCCTTAGTAGATAATATTTATGCGGTGTTTTCATAAATTATTATAAAATCTAATATATTTTTGTAATGTTTGTAACCTAGAAGCTGGGTACAAAAGAAAAAAACAAAATCCTAAGGAAAGCCCTTTAGACCTTTGCCACCGACAGGTCTAGCCTCCGGGGCCCTCCACCACAACCTGGCATGTCTGTGGTCTCGATAGACAAGTCAGCCAGGGTTCGCTGGGCAGCTGGGGAGGGGTGCCCTTGCTTTGAGGGGGTGGGTGGGGGCCTGCTGCCGATGACAAGAAGCCCCAAGGAAGCCGGCCTGGCACGTTAAAATGGACTTGAATTGTTTTCTGTTGAGAGTTCTTGTTTTACCCTGTGAGATCATTAGGACTCATTTCTGAAGTGTTGCCAAACCAGAGTAGACATTGAACCACTGCTTGAAAATACTGCTTTAAAAAAAAAATAATAATAATAAGGGCAGAAAAACGTAAGTCACAGCCTTGGGGTCAGTTACGATTTAAAAAGTATTCAGTTAGCTTTGCTTAGCTGGGGTTGATAAGTTTATTACTTATTTTGCATTTTTTACTCATCTTTAGTAGATAATACCAATTTGAACCACATAAATGTCATCGTGCCCAGATACTATCTGTAACGTTAAAAGCCTCTATTTTTAATTTCTTTGTAAAAAGTGCTCCAAGTGCTTGTTTTGCTCTCTAAATGTGGAAACTCGGGGCTGTTTCGATGCTTCCAGAGGAAGGCTTGAAGGTGAAGGCGTTCACAGCGCACACTCGTCCTCCTCAGTGCTTGTCAAGACAGGCTGTGTGGAAAGAGTTTGAAAGCGAGTCCGCCACCTCTTTCCCATGTACAGGAGTCTTTTGATCCTTGGCAAATACCGTTACTTTCATAGTAGCCTAGAACAGACTCAGAAAGAAACGTGGGTTTCCTACCTCCACAGCACCCTCCTGAGAGTTGACCATGAATTTTTAAAAGATGAGCATGAAACAGTTTCATATCATTTTGTTTCATGTTTCCACTGCTTGTCTAGTTCTAGAAAACTAAAGCCACATTTGTCAAATCTACTGGGTATGTGTCTTCGTGAAGGAATACTAATCCGCCCAGACGTGTGGCTTGGGCAAGCATTTTCATTGAGTGAGACATGATGCTGTAGACAGAGCCGTCGGACTGTCCTAACGTGAGACAGCCCCTGGCTTGAACGAAATAACGACAGAATACTGCATATTATTTTCGGCATGCACTATAGAAAGAACCTTTGTGCTTAGCCTCCCCGGCTATAGTCGCGCTGAGATTGTTAGAGCCCCATCTGGGTCCTTATGTGGAGGAGAAGGGCTATAGCCTCAATGGCCCTATCACCAGAGGGTGGCCTGTGTGCCCACATCTGCTGCACCTTACATGAGACCACTGAGCCAGGTCCGCCCCGTGGTCCCGAGGTGGCACCTAGCGCACAACCAGGAACCCAGGACGGAGACTCACCTGCACCGCAGCGAGTTTGGAGCAGACCCTTTCCCCGTCCCTCGGAGGGCTTGTCAGCCAGCCTCAGCGACCGTGCTCAGGGCCGGCTGGAGGCGCAGCGGCAGCTCTCGCTCGGGTGGTGGGGATTCTGGACTTGCTTCCACCCGTCGAAGGGTGCCAGAGCGGTGGTCCTGGGACGGGAAGCCTGGTGCACGAGGCTGACCTGCCAGAATGCCCATCATCGCTCCGTCATCGTGCCGGTCATTGTGCCGGACACCGGGACACCCCGGCACTGCAGGCTTTATAGGCTTCCCAGGGCCGCCCATTGTGCTCTGCACTGCTGGACGGCCTCCGAGAGGGCCGGCATTAACCATTTTTTTGCTGGCCTTTTTTCTCCCACACTGTGGCGATGAGCTCAGTCCCACTACACATTTTTATGGATGTTTCCAGACTTACATGCTTTTCTTCACCCACTGATAAAATTTTTTTAAAGTGTGAAAACATTGTAAGTAGGTCTTGTGTACCTTTCAGATGCTGACCCATCGTTATTTGCTGGAACCGAAATGGTCTTGCTTGTTTTTAAAATGAGGCACTAGATTTCCTAAGCCGAGAGAGGATTGTACTAATTATACTTGGAGAATCGAACCTAGAACTTTCACAAAAGCATTTCCAGAAAGAAATTTAAACCCAAGAGATAACAAGTATTTGGGGCAAGTACATTAGGAATCAGAGTTGTTTTTTTGCTCTCAGTGTTAGCCATGTCTCAGCTCTCGCTTTCTCTTTGCTCCTGAAACCGCCCGAGTGCACTTGTCCTGCAGGAATCAGTGACCCACCCGAGAGGCCCTCCTCCTCCTCCTTGCCATGGCTGCGGCCCTTGTACAGTCAGGGTGAATTCTGTCCCTGGGACCGCCCCCTCCCCCCACCCAATACCTGACCATCCTGCAGGTAGCTGCTGTCTCCTGCCCACCACCCCCACCCCCAGCCAGTGGTTGGGTTCACCATCGGCTCAGGCAAAGGCCGGCAGAGTCGCCCCAGTTCCCAGGTACGTGCACATCAGGTCTGAAGTCTGTAGGACCAGCCGCACCCTGGCTGCTCGCGCCAAGTTGTGCAGTGTTCGCGGACGTCACATTTTAATCAATCTCATATTTTGTTCTTGGTGACCTTTTACTTTCTGAGTTTTTTGAAGCTGTGGGATTGACCTGAGCGTGATCTTCTGGGTGACTTGAGTGTGAATAAAGCACACGGCTGCGGCATTGGCAGCATGGAGGCCAGCACATGCTCCTCCCGGAGGACAGAGGCTGGTTCCGGGCTTGGAGCAAAGGCGTCCGGTTGGACAAGTACACGGCGGCTGCGGGGTCCCCCTGCGGTGACGGGCCCTTCAGGCTGCCAGGTGGCTTCCCTGCAAGCTTTCTGTTTTGTCAGGAGCCTGTCTCAAATGCTTGAAGGTATTCTGAATGGTAATAATCTAACGTCTTTCAGATTTGTGTTTATACACATGTATTTCAACAGAAAATACTATGTTAAGTTTTTTATGGAAACATACTAACATCCATTGTTCTTTCCAGCTTTAGAATCCAGACATAATTCTAATCTGTAATTCTTCAAATTCTGAATGAATGGTGACGTGGACGAGGCCGGTGTGATCTCACACCTACCGTGGATAGCCACAGACTCCCAACAAGTCCAGCACTAACGATGCCTGAGGACACCATTTTGAAAGAAATGAGTCATGAGAAAGTATAACTTCCTGTTGTGTTAAAAAAAATAAATAAAAATCCAAACCTTGAAATAGCCAAGATATGTCACGTAAAAATAGCCACTGCCCACTTGCCCCAGCCCAAGGCCTGTGGCCCCTCTGGTCCCAGTGGCTGAGGAGGTGCTTCCCGAGGCTCCCGGCGCACTATCCCTGCAGCTCCCCCCGAGTTCCCAGCACTATGGCTGGCATGCCGGCCTGTGCAGAAGGCTTGCCATCAGCTCATGAGGGCTGCCAGCTGGTGGCCCTGGGTGGCTAGTAACCTGTCAGCTCTCACACGACAGGACCCTGCCTTAGGGATTTCAGTCCCCAAACCCGAGCTGATGTTTGCATGCATCAGGGATGGGAACATCTTACGGATATCTCTGTAGAGCAGAAAGACCTTTCGATGTTAAAATCTACCCTCCAGTGGGCGTTTACTCACGCCAGGCTCTGTTTGCTGACCGCATTATACCCATGGCTCATGTAGCCCTCACTGAGCACCCTGGCAGGTGGGGGCTGGTCCTGTCCCTGCCATACAGGTGAGAAGCCTGAGCTCAGGTGCATTTGGCCCAGGCCTCGGTCTGGCTGACTCTGGCCCACGGTCCTTGTGATTGCACTGAGAGCTTCCCACATGGCCAGTCCCCTTGTAACAAGGTTGTCTTGAGGCTGAATTGGACTTCTTACAGATTTTTATCCATCCCCAGAATCGGATCATGGGAAAACTTCGAACGGAGTCTGGTCTGCTTGGCGTTCATTTAGTTAAATTTGCAGATGTAGTCTGGTAACAGGTAGCACATAAGGAATAGACATGCGGTAAAGCCAGGAGGTCTGCCTGAGTGAGGGCCCCCCCAGAAAGAACCCTTACCCTCATTTCCAGTTCCTCCAGGCCTGGTGCTGTGTCCCCCGTCCCCGCCACCCCTGCTCTTCTGTAGCAAAGAATTGTCCCCCTGTCTGCAGAGGGACCCCTATGGTGAGACATGTATCGCCCCAGTGGGAGCAAGCCCGGAACCGCCAGGTTCCCATCTTCTCCCTCTGCAGTCAGTCGCCCTGGGGCCCTCAGTAGAGTGGTGGTAGGGTGGGGGCACTACGTGATGCCCACAGAGGAGCTATGAACACCAGGACATCCAGCCTGCGCCGTCCTTGTCCTTGGGCGGGGCCATGTGCCCACAGCACGTGCCTGTGCCACCCTTCACCAGGATGGCTTGGTCAGCAAGACGCGAGCGGAGTCCCGGGCAGCCAGGCTCCTGTTTCCTCTGGGTGCATCACAGGGAGAGAGAAGCTCAGTCCCGATGTTTGTAGGCTCGTTGGCAGGATTCGGCTCATGGCTGAGACCCCAAGTGCTGTGGCAGCTGTGCTTCGGAGTCGCCGGCGCTGGGAAGCACAGCATGGCCTGTGTGGTGCTTATGGGGGGAAGCTCACGGGCACTGTGGGTGCACCCGCTCTTGAGAGGCAACCCTGCACACTCAGCCTCTCATGCGTTTTCTCTTGATTATCCTGAGTGGGGGGAAGCAGAGAGCCCTTCCCCTGCATTCTTTGTGACCCTTACAAAGCCCTTGGGGGCTTTTGTGGGCTTTGTGCTCACACGCCCCCAAGCATTCAGGCCAGCACCACCTGCTATAAAAACAGAGGCCAGGGCCCAGAGAGGGGACGGGGACGGGCTCACCTTGGGGAAGTGTGTGGATGGACGTCCTGCATTGTCTTTATTGGCTGCAGGCTGGCATGCAGAGGTATGTGCTGTGGGGGAGTACTCTGAGCCCCCATTGGGTAGCCGTTGGCCAGGGCTGAGTGTCAGAGCCTCTGATTCTGAGTGTGTGTGTGTGTGTGTGTGTGTGTGTGTGTGTGGCCCAGGAAGCTGGCCCAGGGAGCGGAGGAGCGACCACCAGGCACTTCCTTCCAGGTGAGCTCTGCTCTGGAGACTCAGCCTGGAGCCTGTGTTGGCAGGAGTGGACGCATTGGCGCTGTCCTCCCGTCCTCTCTGGGGCTACCAGTCAGTGAGACCTAAGGGGCAGTCGCGTGTGTGTTCAGAGCTGTGTGTCCAGACCGTAGCATGCCAAACCACCGCTGTCTACACTGTCAAAAGCTGTTCCCTGGAGAAAGCAGATGGGCCTTCTGCAGACCGACTGTCCGGCCCCTTCCATTACGGGACGGGACGTTGAGGGTGCAGCTTCTCTCCAGCATCAGAGGCACCTTCATGCCCACTCACCCTGGGGGTATTTCGTGACACCATAAAGGAGCCATCCCCGTGGTTTCGCCAATGTTGACTTTTTGGACAGCTGGGCCCCTCTCAGCCGTTGCCTGGAGCTTTCTGGACATTTCCTCTAATTTTCTGAGAGCGGTGTGCCAGTGGCACCCAGAATGCCTTGTGTGTGGCCCACAGAAGCTCAGTCAGATGGTGCCTACCAGGCTCTGCCCCAAGGAGGGCTGTTTGCGGGTGGCATGTTCTAGAATGCCAGGCTGGTGGCCCGGGTCCTCAGGGAGAGGCTGGGAGCCTCAGGAAGTGGCTGCCCCTCACCCTCCACCCTCTTCGTTCTGAGCCATCTTTTTCAAATCAAGGTTTCATGGGCACCTTCTGGGCTAAAGCAACCCCCCAGGGTGGAAAACCATAGTTCTCTGTGTTTTCTCCTCTGTGGCTCTTGACCTTTCTCTCGGCTTGGTCCTTGAGGAGCTCCTGTTCTCAGTGTGTCCTGTCTGTCCCAGGGCAAGGGGTGAACAGACGAGGCCCACGCAGGGCTGGTGGTGGGGGCCGGGGGCACCTTGGTGCTCTAGGGTCGGGTTTCCCCACCTCCTCTCCCATCACCACGGTACCTTTTAGTGTCTCAGACACTGGGCTTCCTCATAGGATTTGTTTAAAGAAAGGATCCTGTGGCGCAAAAGAAAAAGTTTGAGAACCACCGATTTACATTCCTGTGGTTGAGTTCTAAAACTATTCCTTTAGCCAAAATACTGAGAAACTCAGTGGGATCAGATTCTCCGGGCTTGGCTTACGTGTTTGCTCTCCCAGTGTGAGTCGGCCATTTCTTAGAGGAGCCTGAGCACATGTGAGCCTAACCCCTCCTTCTGTTCTAAAACTAGGAGGCTGTTGGCTTCTATTATTGTATATTTATACATTAATTTAGATCCTTCCACTTCTGGCCATAAATGAGTAACGTCAGGGAACTTGCCATAAACCATTAAATGCTGGATAAGATAGAGGACACAGCTGTTTCCAGACACTGGGGCAGTGGGCAGTGCAGGCTCTTGGTCTCAGAGAGAAGGAAGGAGGCACAGTGAGCCCCCTCGTCCGGGGGCAGGAAGGGATCTGAGCAGCTCGGGTGACCAGACCACATTGAGGGGACGAGATTACGTTTCTGGGAGGCCACAGGAGCTGGAATGGCAGGAGATGGAGCTGGAGACAGGGAGCCATGTCAAAAAAGAGCTCCCGAGGTGCAGAGAGCTGAACCTGTACGTGCCTGGTAGGAACAGTCAAGGCCGGACTGAGAACAACTACAGGCCAGCTCCAAGCCGAACAACTGCGAGTTTACGTAGGCCTGGGCCACGTTCTCATTCCACCTGGTCAGACCAGAGATGTTTCTGAGCA